TGTTGACCAGGATGGTCTCGATCTCTTGACCTTGTGATCCACCCACCTCGGCCTCCCAAAGTGCTGGGATTACAGGCGTGAGCCACCACGCCCGGCCTTTTTTTTTTTTTTTTTTTTTTTTTACTTTAAGTTCTGTGGTCCAGATGCAGATCTTGCAAGATTGTTACATAGGTTTACATATGCCACAGTGGTTTGCTGCATCCATCCCCCCCGCCACCTACATTAGGTATTTCTCCTAATGTTATCCCTCCCCAATCTCTCCACCCCCTACTGTCCCTCCCCTAGCACCCCACCTCCTGACAGACCCCAGTGTGTGATGTTCCCCTCCCTGTGTCCATGTGTTCTTATTGTTCAACTTTGCTGAATTCTTTTATCAGTTCTAGGAGCTTTCTGGAGGAGTCCTTAGGGTTTTCAAGGTAAATGATCATATTGTCAGCAAACAGCAACAGTTTGACTTCCTATTTATTGATTTGGGTGCCCATTATCTCTTTCTCTTGTCAGATTGCTCTGGCTAGGAATTCTGGTACAGTGTTGAAAAGGAGTGGTGAGAATGTGCACCCTTGTCTTGTTTCCGTTCTCAGGGGAATGCTTTCAACTTTTTCCCATTCAGTATTATTTTGGCTGTGGGTTTGTCATAGATGGCTTTTATTACAATTAAAGTATGTCCCTTGTATGCCGATTTTGCTGAGGGTTTTGATCATCAAGGGATACTGGATTTTATCAAATGCTTTTTCTGCATCTGTTGAGTTAATCATGTGATTTTTGTTTTTAATTCCGTTTATGTGGTGTATGACATTTATTGACTTGCGTATGTTAAACAACCCTGCATCCCTGGTATGAAACCCACTTCATGGTGGATTATCTTTTTGATATGTTACTGGATTTGTTTAGCGCCTATTTTGTTAAGGAGTTTAGCATCTATATTCATCAAGGATATCAGTCTGTAGTTTTCTTTTTTGGTTATGTCCTTTCCTGGTTTTGGTATTAAGGTGATGCTGGCTTCATAGAATGAATTAGGGAGGGTTCCCAGTTTCTCTGTCTTGTGGAACAGTGTCAAAAGGATTGGTACCAATCCTTCTATGAATGTCTGGTAGATTTCTGCTGTGAATCCATCTGGTCCTGGACTTTTTTGTTGTTGGTAAGTTTTT